CCCCGCCCGGGCCAGGGCCCGCGCTGCCCGCCGTGCGCCTGAGCCTCGTGCGCCTGGGCGAGCCCGACCCCGCCGCCGCCGCCGCCTCCGGGGAGCCCGCCGGGCCGCCCCCGGCCGCCGGCGATCGCGTCTGCTTCAACTTGGGCCGAGAGCTCTATTTCTACCCCGGAGGCTCCGGGCGCCGAGGCAGCCACCGGGTGAGCGACGGAGGAAGGAGGGGATGGAGAGAGGATGGAGGATGGGGGGAGGATGGAGGCGGGGAGGAGGGAGAATTGGAGGGGAGGGGAAGTTAGGAGGGGGATGGGGAGGGGGGAGGATGGAAGGGAGGAGGGGGGAGGATGGAGGGGAAGGGAGAAAATAGAGAGGGGGAGGAAGATGGCAGGAGGATGAAGTGGGGAGGAGGAGAGCATGGAGAGGGAAGGTAGGGGGAGGAAAGGGGAGAGTAGGGATTTAGAGGAGGGGCATCATAGTGTCGGGGTGCTGGCAGGGGGTTCTGGGCTCTAGAACATTAGCACAGGGAGTAGGGCGTCTGGAGGACTTTGAGTATTGACACTGAGAAAATACAGTGCTCCTCAGTAGAAGCCATAGAATTCAGAATTTTAGAGTTTAAAAAATGGAACCTCTGGGTCAAAGAACATTAGCAGTAACGTTAGAACATTAGAATATGCAAACATCATAATAAAAACCAGTGTTTATGCGGCTCTCTAAGGCTTGCAAAGCAAGTACTTTACAAATATTGTCTCATTTGGTTCTCCTGACCATCCTGGGACACGGATGCTGTGGTTATCCCCATTTTACAGATGAGGCAAACAGACATTAGGTGAATTCCTCAGACTCACACAGCTCGGAGGTGTCTCAGGCTGAATTTTCACTTAGCTCTTCCAGACTCTGGGCCAGGACTTTAGCCACACTGTAGAATGTCCAGCCTGGGAGGATGCTTCAAACAGAAATGGTAGCCCAGGACACAGAAGGGGTGAGGCCTGGTGGAGGATGGGGTTTAAAGGGAGGAAGATGGAAAGGAAGGAGGTTCGGGCTGCTGTTGTCCCAGCCTAGCAGGGCCGATGCTGTGGACAGAGGGGCGTGTGCTCCTGGGACAGCATTCCCCCTGCTAGAGAAGGCAGGATGGGCAGGGGATTGGAAGGGATAAATCTGTGGGGATAAGGGGGCTCTGCATTGACTCAGGGGCCACCTTTGTTGGGGAACAATTTCTGTAGCTTCTGAGCTGGCAGGAGCTGTAGAGACCATGGGGGCAAACTTCCTTATTGACCCCAACCTAGTCTGGTGCCAAGCCCCAAGACCTACTGCCTCTCCTGGGGGAGGTCAACAACGAGAGATGGCAGGGAGAGCTGTGACAGCGGACGTGGAGGGAGGAGAGGAATGGGAAGAGAAAAAGGAAGCAGGTGGCTTGGAGCTCACCAGGCATGGCTGAGAGCTCCAGCCTTTTAGAAAGTCTGTGAATTAGAGGTGGGAGGGATTTCAGTGGGCCAGGAACTAGGATCTGAAAGGCATGGCAGTCAGCAGAACCTGGGGGTGAGGAAGGCGTGAGTGTGGGGGCCTCAGCAGAAACTGGGAGGCCTGGGAGTGGGCTGGAAGCCTAGGGAGGTACGTCCAACCCTGCTGCCGGGCAGGTAGAAACAAGAGGGTCATTGAAGGTCAGGGAGGCCCCAGGTTCAGCACTGGGTAGCAGCAGACCCCCTTTCCTTTTCACAGTGCAGCCCCCAAGCATTCTTCGGGAGCCTGTCACACCCCAAGCTATGCACTAGGGATGGAGGAGTACAGATGAAACACTCCCGGCTCCAGCTTACGTGTGGTCAGAGACAACCGCATATAAATGCAGGAGATTGGAGGGGGTTGGTCCAAGCCGCCAGGCCGATCAGGACAGGCCCCTGACAGGGAGATGGGATCGCTGAGCTTTGAAGGCATATCTGGGTTCAGACAGGCTGGGCAGGGAGAAGAGGGAAAGCAGAGGGAGGGCCAGGGCCAGCCTGACTCTGCCCTGGGGAGCTGGCCTGTTCGTGCCTCGGCCTCATTGGCCGGGTGTCGCTCACCACCCTTCTTTCCTTCCCCCCAACCAAAGTCCATAGACCTCAACAAGCCCATCGACAAGCGGATCTACAAAGGCACCCAGCCCACTTGTCACGACTTCAACCAGTACACGGCAGCCACGGAGACCATCTCCCTGCTGGTGGGCTTCTCAGCTGGCCAGGTGCAGTACCTGGACCTGATCAAGAAGGACACCAGCAAACTCTTCAATGAGGAGGTGAGTGAGAGGGGGCTTGATGAGGAGCACACTGGAGCCTGGCCAAGGTGGGGAGGGGTTGGCCATGGAGGGGGCGAAAGACAGGAATGATTTAAGAGACTGTCTAAGAACAGGGGATGTCAGGGCTGGGAGGGCCTTAGAATAGGGAAAGTCTGAGCTGGGAGAGGCCTGAGAACAGGGGATATCAGGGCTGAGAGAAAATCTTTTCCATTCTCTCTGATTTTACTAATTGGAGAAACTGAGGAAATAGGAGTTGCCCGATAAAAAGGTTTCCTGTTTGTACTTGCAGGTCATTTTCATGGCCATTATCTCCTGTGATTCTGACATTATCCCAGGGAGTCAGACAGGGACCTTTTTCCCCGTTTGACAGGGGTGGTTTCTGAAGCCCAGATAGGAAAAACTTGCCGAGATGGCACCGATAGTGCCAGGGCTAGGCTGTCTGACTGCCAGCTCCTGCCCCCTGGCGCTGCCCCGCTGCCCATGCTGAGGCCAGAGGTATAAGGAAGGCTGCTTCTTAGAGTTGGCACGGCCGGTCCAGCCTTCTCACTCAACAGTTTAGGAAACTGAGCCCCAGAGAGCTGGAGTCAGAAGAACGGACGGCCTGAGCTCTAGTTTCGAGCTCCCATCAGCTCCTCCCCCCTCCTCCGTACCAGAGGAAGGGACAGGCAGTGCCAGGTAGACCAAGGAAGGGATGAGGAGAGGCCCCCGGACAGACAGGTAGATAGCCGGATGGGCCTGCATTGAGGCCGGGCAGGGCAGCAGGCCCAGAGAAGGGACCCAGTGAATCAGGCTGGGATTTCAGCACAGTGTGTCTGATGATCTGGTGCAAGTCCTTCACCCCACGTGTGTCACGTGCTGGGGCGTTGCATGGGGTGACCTCAGAAGCCCCTCCCAGCTTGAGGTCTGTGACCCCGTCTGGGATCCCAGTGGAGAGAACCTGACCTTCAGAGCCCAGAGGCCCAGAGAGGGGCAGGAACATCCTCCGCGGTCACACAGCTCGTGGGCCGCAGAGCCAGGCTCTGGGCCTTGCCCCCAGTCCAGGGCTCCCTCCGCCCCACTGCACTGCACTGCCGCTTCCTGGAAGCACGCTCATGGCCCTCCTGTCTCCCTCTGCTTTTCCCCCCAGAGGCTGATCGACAAGACCAAGGTGACCCACCTGAAGTGGTTGCCCGAGTCCGAGAGCCTGTTCCTGGCCTCCCACGCCAGTGGCCACCTCTACCTGTATGATGTGGCTCGCCCCTGTGGCCCCGCCCCGCCCCAGTACAGCCTGCTCAAGCAGGGGGAGGGCTTCGCCGTCTACACTGCCAAGGGGAAGGCGCCCCGAAACCCGATGGCCAAGTGGGCCGTGGGCGAGGGCCCCCTGAACGAGTTTGCCTTCTCCCCGGACGGGCGTCACCTGGCCTGCGTGAGCCAGGACGGCTGCCTGCGCGTCTTCCACTTCGATTCCATGCTCTTGCGGGGCCTCATGAAGAGCTACTTCGGAGGCCTGCTCTGCGTGTGCTGGAGCCCCGACGGGCGCTACGTGGTGACCGGGGGCGAGGATGACCTGGTCACCGTGTGGTCCTTCACCGAGGCCCGGGTAGTGGCCAGAGGCCACGGCCACAAGTCCTGGGTCAACGCCGTGGCTTTTGATCCGTATACCACGAGGAGCGAGGAAGAGCCGGAGGGGGAGGGGACGACCGGCGGGAGCGAGAGGGAGGCGGGCTCCTTGCCCCGACTGCCTCCCCCGGCCGTCACTTACCGCTTCGGCTCGGCCGGCCAGGACACGCAGTTCTGCCTGTGGGACCTGACGGAGGACGTGCTCTACCCCCGGCCCCCGCTGGCCCGGCCCCGGGCCCTGGCCGGCAGCACGGAGGCCACGCCCATCACCCCGGGGCCCCTTCCCCGATCCCTGTCCCGCTCCAACAGCCTCCCGCACCCGGCAGTGAGTGGAAAGGGGGCCGGGGCGAGCACGGGCGGGGTGACGGAGCCCGGGACCCCCTTCAGCATCGGCAAGTTTGCCACACTGACCCTCCAGGAGCGTCGCGACAAGGGCGCCGACAAAGAGCACAAGCGCTACCACAGCCTGGGCAACATCAGCCGGGGCGGCGGCGGCGGGAGCGGCGGAGACAAGCTGGGCGGGCCGGCCCCCCGGGGCCGACTGGACCCAGCCAAGGTGCTGGGCACGGCCCTGTGCCCTCGAATCCACGAGGTGCCCCTGCTGGAGCCCCTGGTGTGCAAGAAGATTGCCCAGGAGCGCCTCACCGTCCTCCTGTTCTTGGAGGACTGCATCATCACCGCCTGCCAGGAGGGTCTCATCTGCACCTGGGCCCGGCCTGGCAAAGCTGTGAGTACCCCGGGGGCCGCAGGGGAGCCCCCCTTGGCCCCAGAGTCAGGCCAGGCGCCCGCCTCCTCTCCTGCCGGGCTCTGGTCTGCAGACTGAGTGCTTGGAGATTCTCAGGGGGAGGGCGGGGTGGCAAGGGAAAGAAGCTGTAGGAATAATCGTCAAGCCATCGGAGCCCCATAGCCCCGGAACGCCGCAATCTGCAGAGAAGAGGTGTTCCACGCCTGAAATGTCAGCGTGTTAGAAAAATGGGTGTCAGGGTCCTGGCATTGTGGAATGCGCCCATGGGAGGGTGAGAGGGACGCGCTGCAGACCACAGCTGCAGGACTGACTCACTAACTTGTGAGTCTCTTCGTGGCTCTGAGCCTCAGTTTCTTCATCTGTAAAATGGGAGTGTTGGAGCTATGTTCCTCACAGTGTGGTGGTTGAGGAAAGCTCATTACCTCTAGGGGCATGTGAACATGAGCCACTGTTCTTGTAGAATGTCAGCTTCTTAAAATAATTGTCGGAACCTTGGAGTCACGGAAGTGGAGACTCTAGAAGTTGGGGCCGGGGCACATCCCCGTGGGGTCTGTAACTCAGCACTTCCCCAGGGCGGGACCGCACATGGGCTGGGGGAGGTGGGGGGGGCATTGGCGCAAGAGACCGGAGCTGGAAAGGGAGGGGCCGGACCGTGCCGTAGACCACAGGGGGAACGAGATGGAAGATGAGACGTGCAGACAGGCAGGGCGCCTCCCTCGGGGGGGGGGGGTCGGGGGGTCTGTGACGGCCTCGTTGCCCGGCCCACATGCCCTTCTTCCGGCTTCCTTGCAGGGCCTCTCCTCCCAGCCTGCCAATTCCCCCAGTGGCACCGTGGTGTGAAGCTCGTGGATTCAGCCGCTCTCACCTCTCAGCCTCCTGGTCGTGTCCTGTCTGCTCCATCCTAATGCCCCTTACTGTATTAATGAGACTAACAGTGGAAGGAGCCCCCCCCCCCCGCCCTCCCTCGGGCCTTGCACAACACCAGGGACGTCCCTGGCCTGGCCCGTGGGAGGTGGGGCCCAGTGTTCTTCCCTGCTTGTACACGGTCAGTGTTACCCCCCTCGCTCCCCTGCATGTGCCGGCCCCTCGCCTCCCCTTCCACCTTGGCTCTTTGCACTGATCCCCTCTGGCAGGGATGGGGGGAGGCCCCTGACGAGTGTTATAAATTATGGAAACCCCAGTGTCTCTGCCTCCCCCCACCCCTTCAACCTCTTATTTATAGTAAAGGCTCCTTGTTTTTACAGTCTGGGCTGTTGGCCTCTCTTCTGTCCTGCGGTTGGGGGTGAGGGTGGGGAGAGCAGCCGGTCTTCCTGCTTTGTGTTTGTCCAAGGCCGTGGAGGAACATGGAACATTAGACCTTAGAAAGAGTGGAACCTGGCAGCACCTCAACCCCTTTACAAGTGGGGAAACTGAGGCCACGGTTGGCGTCGTCACACAGCCACCATGGTGCTGGCGCATCGGGGCCTGATAATCGCCCTCACTCCCCCCTTCAACTTCCCATTTAGCTCCCCTGGTCTGCAGCCCAGAACATCAGAGCCAGAAGGGACCTTAGAACCTAGAATGTCAGAGCTCGGAGGGCCCTTCCAACAGAGCCATCAGGCACGTAGGCGTTTATGAAGTTATTCACCCTGCTGGAGTCTGTAGAGGCCTAGTGGCAGTGGGGGGAGACTGAGGCAGGGAGAGCCTACACCAATACGATGGAGGGCGAGTGTGGCTGGGGAGTGGCTAGGAACCTCCAGGCAGGAGCCCCCAGAGAGGAAGGGGCTGGTGGAGCCGAAAGATGCTGTCTACCCATGAGGAGCTGGAGGTGCCAGCCCGTCATCCCTTTGAAATGTCCAGAGTGGGTGGTGATGGGAGACCGGAGCTGAGGATGTAGGTCTGGGATTCATTCCATGTGTGCCAATCCTTCATTCAGTAAGCATTTGTTAAGCTCCTACTATGTGCCAGGCATGGAGCTAATGCTGGCGATACAAAGAAAGGCAAAAGACAGCCCCTGCCCTCAAGGAGCTCCCAATCCAAAGGCCCTGAGGAGCTTGCCAAGTGGGGTCATGTAGGGAGGGGAGGAGAGGCCCTAGGCCAGAGCACTGGGGGGAACCTGTGTTTCCTCGGGCATGACTGAGTGAAGCTGCCGCTAAGGACGCTGAAGGAACATCCCAGCATGGGGAGAGCTGTGTGGCAAAGGCCCCGAGAGAAGAGCGGCTCTTAAGATGTAATGGCAGGTCAGCAGTCAGAGAGGTCAAGGACTCGTGAGGCAGACAGGTTGGCCTGTCGAGAGCTGCCCAGTAGCTTTGGAGAGATCACCTTCAATTGAAGGATATGGATCCAGACTTCGGAACGTGAGAGGAAAACCAGCAGTTTACGTGGGGTAGACTGAGCGAGAGACAGAGATGTGGGGCAGAGGCCCTCAGCGGACGACCTCAGTGGGACCTGTTTATTTCGACGGGTCATTGATGGGCTCGGGGGCATCTTGAGACAGAGAATAGGTAGACCTCCTATGACTGAACAGAGAAGGTAGATGGGGCCTAAGCCCCATATTTATTACAAGGGTTTTGTTTTCCTCCGATTTGGGGGGAGAGAAAATAGATTTTTGTTCATTATAAAGAGAATATGAAAGCTCAGAGGGACCTTAGAACAGAGACTTTCAGAGCTAGAAGGGAGATCAGATGGAGTCTGGGTCAATTCTCCTTATTTTACAAGTAGGGAAACTAAGTCCCAGAAAAGGCCAGTAACCTGGACGAGGTCACAAATCAGTGACTGAGCTGCACTGGGGCCTCCTTTAAACTCTGCCACAAATCTCTAAATTGCCCCAGTATCTGTCAAGGGAAGTATGGGGGGGGTGGTAGTAATACCAAGTTACTCCTCAAGCCCAGTGCCCTGAGGAGTGGGGAGGCAGGGATGATTGAAAACTCTTGGTCTCTTTCCTGACTTCCTCTCCTCCCCCCTCCCCCAGGTCAGCTTTTCACTCCTCTTCCTCTCCGGGGCTGGCTCTGGGGAGCAACACCCCTCCCTCCCCCCTAAATGTTTCTGTTTCTAATCTGAGCTGGGAGGAATGTAGCTGGTCCCCACCCCCTGGCCCCCAGGGCTAGTGTCCAAAAAACCAGTGGATAGGGCCTCAGAGTCTGGGGGGTCCCCGCGCTGTAGCTCCTGTCCTCCAGACACAGGTCTTCCTTTGGAAAGAGGGTCCCCCGCCATAGTCACTCTCTGAAGGGGTGAATTCCTCTCCTCTCCCTGCCCCCCTTTCCCCTCCCAAAATGGATCCATTTAAACCCGGGAGGGACCTCCCAGCTAAATTTAACAGTCCTGGATGGGATCCATCGCTGAGTCACGGGAGAAGCCACTGCTCCATACTGTGCCCCCTCCCCCCATCCCCTTCTCTGTCCTCAAAGAGCCCAGAACCAGGAGCAACTTGAGAGCTGGGTTTGAATCCCTTCTCTTCTGCTCCCAGTGTCCTCATCTGTAACATGAGGGGGTTGGACTACATCAGAAGGTGTGAAATCCTGTTGTTAGGGGCTCTCCCAGCTCCAGTAGGACCCATTCCTGGGCCTGTGGTGGGCACAAGCCCACACTCGGCTCTGCCTTAGGGCTCTGTCACCTGGAAGCTGAGGCTCTTCAGTGGCGATCTGTCGGGCTTGGACGAAGGGGTCTCAAAAGCCCTGTCCAGCTCCCATGACATGCTCCGAAGGAGACCCTGTCTGCCTACCCTAAAGAAACCTGGCGTCCCCCACTGCCAGCCCTGAATTTGGGAACTTTGGGTGCCTCTGCTTCAGGCAAGAAAGATTTAAGCAGAAAGAGCCCAAGGGTCTGGCTGGGGTGCCGAACTGGCTTGGACACCTCATAGCTGGGTCACAGTGGACACGTCACTGAATTTCTCAGTATCAGCTCCCTTATCTGCAAATAAAGTTTGTGCTCCCCACCTCACAGGGTCAGTTGTGAGGAAGTGGCTGTAAATCTTAGCCTTAGTGAAACAGTTCTTAGTGTTAAGAATATATTCCCTGGCCCCTGGCCCCTGGCCCTTCGTGATGTCGACAAGTTAAACAGAGGGACTAGGAAGGGGGTGTATGGGGGGTGCTGGTGCCCTGGGCCTACAAGGGGTTAAATTGGATGGAGGGAGGGGCAGCGAGGGCAGGGGTGGGCTGGGCTGGAAGAGAGGAGAAGAGAGGAGACGGCGCAGGCTAGCCGAGCTCCAGGGGGAACACACAACTTGCCTAGCTTGGAGTTCCGATTCCCAAAGGGGAGAGGGCAGAAGGCCCTGAGGTGGTGGTGGTTAGGGGGGGGAGGGGGAGGAGCCATGAGGCCCCGGAGCTAGGGCCAGGCCTGCCAGGCCTGTGAGAGGTGAGGCCCCCCCCCCACCCCAGCCTGGGCGGGGGCCATGGTGGTGGCAGCGGCCCCGTCATGTCGGCCGAGGTCCGGCTGCAGCGGCTCCGTCGGCTCCAGGAGCTGGTGGTCGATGGAGGGTGTGTGGGTCTGGAGCCCCTGCTCGACCTGCTGCTGTGTGTCTACCAAGAGCTCAGTGCCTCAGCCCTGGCCCAGGACAAGTATGTGCTGGACTTCCTGCAGTGGGGTGAGTGCTCTCCCCCAGGGAGGGAGGCAGGGGCCTCGAGCCACAGGGTCGTTCCCAAGTCTGGGGCCAGAAAGGGAGCATCCCCGAGAGGGAGGGAGCAGCTTGTGGGAGGAGGAAGATGGGGCCCCATGGAGGGATGGGGGACGCCCCTGAAGGAGGCTTCAGGGGACATGAAGAGGGCCCTGAAAAGGGGTCCAGATTGGGGGGAGCAGAATTGAGGGAGGATCAGAAAAGTATTAGGGGCCAAGTAGATCAGAAGAGGGGCACTGGAGAGGAAAAGGAGAGTCAGAAGAGCCCCAGCCCCAGCTCCTGGATGGAGGAGTGGGCAACAGAGGTCTCCACGCCGAATGAGTAAGTTAGGGGAGCTGGCAGATTGTTGAAAGAGGGAAGGGCAGCCTCCCTTTCTGGGCCCTCTGTCAGAGAAGGCCTGGACCACAGGACTCAGCCCTGGTGAGGGGTAGGGTAGGGTAGGGTAGGGTAGGTTAAGTCAAGGAGGAGAGACCTTGGGCTCTGACCTGAAGGTTCCAGCTCTCCTAGATCTCCCCCACCCCATAAGTGGCAGAAACTTCCCTCTAGCTACCTCCACTATGTTCCAATCACTAAGTGCTTAGAGATCCCAGGAGTCTGAGGGAAGGGTGGCAGCTGCCAGCCAGTGGCAGGTGGTCGGCGCCACAGCCTGACAGGTGCCTAGGGCCCCGGGGGAGGGAGGGAAGAGAGATTTGGGTGAGTCAGGGCCCTCTCTGGCCCCTAGGAGGTTCTGACTCACCAATACCAGAAGCACCCCAAGTCTGAGTGACCCTAGGTTTCAGCCTCCCATACCCCAAAGTCCCAGTGGGCTTGACTGAAGGCTAGGCCTGCATCAAAAGCCTATGTGTTAGAGGGGTTGATGTTGGGGTATTAGGATGGGGGAAGAGTGGAATTAATTTATCCTGGGGCTGCAGAATCCCCTGCTGGCCACAGCCCTAGAAGGCAGGGCTATGGATTAGTGGTCATCCTGTCTGTCCTGTCCCCCCACTTTGTTTTACAAAAGGGAGAACTGAGGGCTGGCTAGATCCCATGGTGAAGGGAGCAGGGGCAGTGGATATGGTAGGAGACCCCAGGGCCACCTCTGCCTTGCCTCATCATTCCTGTTTTATTCCAGTCTTCTCTCCTCCTGCCACCCCTTAGGGTTGGGAATGGGAAGGGAAGGAAGGATGGAAGAAAAGAAGGAAGAAAGAGAGGAAGGGAAGGAGGGGAAGGAAGGGAAGGAAGGCAACGGACAGACGAAGGTGGGGCCCTGAGAGCCCCCTCAGGTGTCTGTATCTCCCCCCCCCCAAGAGCTCCAAACCCCGGCCATCACTGGCATTAGACGCCGGTGCTGCTGAGCTCTGGGTTGGAGAACAAGCAGAACCCTGGGGGGGGACACTTAATCCTTTAATCCTGTTCCTTTTACTGGGTAAACAGCTTCCTCCCCCAGGTATGCGGGGTGCTGTGGAGCCCTCGCGGGAGCCCAGCCCACCGTCTGCCTTCCCCATTCCTGAGCCCTCCTCAGCTCCCTACTCAGTGGCCCCGAGGGCCTGCCCGTCGCCTGTCCGTGCTTTCCGTATGTCTGTTTGTGCCTCTGCCTGGCTTTTGGGGTCTCTTATCCCCCGTCTCTCGGTGCCTGGGTCTTTCCTTGCCTCTCAGATCTCTCCATCTCTGTCTCGGCGTGGGCTAAATAAACCTAGACTGTCTTCTCTTGAGGGGACAAAAGGGGAAACTGAGGCAAGGAGGCACGGTTCGTGGTTCTCTCCACCCCCCAGCCCCGCGAAGGGTGCTGCCTTTTGTGGACAGTGTGGGCACAGCCCGCCCTCGTGCGAGCTAGACCAGAACCAAGCCGGGGCTATGCCATAAAAGGGCCGGCAGCTCTGGCGGCCCCAGCGGCGGCGGCGGCGGCGGCGGCTCTTCTCCCCCTCCCCTCCCCTCCCCTCCCCTCCCCTCCGCCCCGCCCTTGCCGCCAGGCAGCTCGCCCCCTGCCCCCCCGCTGCTCACCCCCTCCACTTCCTACTCCCCCCACACCCCGCCCCCTCCCCAGCATGGGCGAGCCTCCCCCGTGCCGGGCCCCCCTCCGCTGACCCCCGAAGGCCAGGGGCAGAAGGGAAGGGGTGTCATGGCCCGGGTCTCGCCCACCTCCCCCCCATAGCGGAGCCCGTTGTTGCTAGACTGAAGGAGATCCAGCTGCGCAGGGACGACTTTGAGATTTTGAAGGTGATAGGACGCGGGGCGTTCAGCGAGGTGAGAGGGGCTCGGGCCGGGGGCGGGGCCGGGGGCGGGGCGGGGCCGGCCACCCTCATCCTCACGCCCTCCCCCGCCAGGTGGCCGTGGTGAAGCTGAGGCGCACCGGGCAGGTGTTTGCCATGAAGATCATGAATAAATGGGACATATTGAAAAGAGGAGAGGTGAGGGGGCGGGGCCCGGGAGGAGCCCGGAGGGTGGGGGCGCGTCCCAGAAGGGGCGGAGCTAGGGAGGGGTCCGGGAGGGGACAAGAGGGAGGAACCCAACCTGGGAAGAAGCAGGGGCGGAGCCAGGGAGGGAGGGGCATGGGGAGGAGCCTGGAGAGGGGCGGAGTCTGTGATGGGCACTGGGGTGGAGCTGGGGAGGGGACGCAGGGGAGGAGCCCAACCTGGAAAGAAGCAGGGGCGGAGCCGGGGAGGGGATGGGGGCGGGTGCAGGGCTCAATCAGGGGCTCACCTTCATCTGTCTCTCCCCGCCACCCCATCCCGACAGGTATCGTGTTTCCGGGAGGAGCGGGATGTGCTGGTGAATGGGGACCCCCGGTGGGTCACGCAGCTGCATTTTGCTTTCCAGGACGAGAACTACCTGGTGAGGAGGGGGCGGAGTTGATCCGGCTGCCTGGTTCTGGAAGGCCTTTGATGGCTGGGCCTTAGGGAGATGCAGGGACTTTGGGTCACAGATATAAGCTCGGAGGCAGAGGACACCGAGAGGGCACTGTGGGCTGCCTCAGTTTCTTCTTCTGCAAAACGAGGGGATTCATCACTTAGCAATCATTTACTAAGTAGCTCTCACCTACGCTAGGGCGAGTCACTGAAAGTCCCGTCCCTATCTCTACTGTGCCAGGCACGGGGGTTACAAAGACGAAAACGAACCCGTCCCAGCCTTCCGCAGTTTGCACGCTATTTTGTGTATACATATATGTGTATATGTGTGTGCAGACTATATGCACACAGTAAATGCAAAGTCATTTTGGAGGGAAGGGCACTAGGGAGGGGATCTGGAAAGGCTTCTTGGAGAAGAGGAGGGAGGAGGGAAAGCATTTCAGGAATGCGGAACTACCGTCTGTCCACTGAGGCCAGAGATGAGATGTCACGTGTGAGGGGCAGAAAGAAGGCTGGAGTGCCTTGTCTCTAGGGTGCTAGAGTCGACCCCAGAGCTAGGAGGGGCCGCTGAGCTTTCTTGAACCAGAGTGGTGTGGTCACACCTGGGCTTTAGCGATTATTCTATAGGATTTCCACAAAATAATCTCAAATAATAAGATCTCAGTGCCTCTGAAAAGGTTGCCAACTCAGTGGTATCTGTCTTCGGGATTTTCTGGCTTTACACTTGTCTGTCTCCCCCTTTTCCTCTCCTCCTTTCTCCCCTCCAGGGACTCCCTTGGTCCCTGGACCAAGTGGAGCAGTGGGGGGGAGAGCCTCTAAGTCAGTGACTCTCAAACCTCCCTCCCCCCTAGTACCTGGTGATGGAGTACTATGTGGGCGGGGACCTGCTGACCCTTCTGAGCAAGTTTGGGGAGCGGATCCCCGAAGAGATGGCACGCTTCTACCTGGCTGAGATGGTCCTGGCCATCGACTCCGTGCACCGGCTCGGCTACGTGCACCGGTCAGGCCCCGAGGGGGGTGCATCACCAAAGGGTCTGGGCGGGGAGAGAGGACTGGACTGGAAGGGGACAGTGAGGCAGGGGGAGGGGTGGGTGGGGAGTGGCTTCTCAGAGCTGTTACCCCCTCCTCCAGGGACATCAAGCCAGACAACATCCTTCTGGACCGCTGCGGCCACATTCGCTTGGCCGACTTCGGTTCCTGCCTCAAGCTTCGAGAGGACGGAACGGTGAGTGGGGGAGAAGGGAGCTGGAGACCCTGACACTCGGCCCCAGGTAGAGTAAGGCAGGGCCCAGAGGCTTCTTTGCTAGAGATGAGGTGGTCACGGATGGGTTAATAGTCTAGAGGCGTGGCCAAAACAAAGAAGAGTGCTATCTAGCGGAGAGGAGGTGAGGCCAGAGGGCAGAAATGGATAAAGGGGTGGGGCCGGGGAGGGGGCAGAGCACTGAAAGCCGAAGGTTGGGGGGCGGGGCCTGATCTGCCTTCTCACCCCAGGTGTGCTCGTCCGTAGCGGTGGGTACCCCAGACTACCTGTCTCCCGAGATCCTGCAGTCTGTGGGCGACGGAACGAGTTCCTACGGGCCCGAGTGTGACTGGTGGGCCTTGGGCGTGTTTGCCTATGAGATGTTCTTCGGCCAGACGCCTTTCTATGCTGAATCTATGGCCGAAACCTATGGCAAGATCGTCCACTACAAGGTGCCCCTGGGGAGCCCTGCGGGGAGAATCTTTGAGTCGGGCACTGGCACCCAGCCCTGCCACGGCGATCTGGGGCTAGCCCTTCCCTCGAGCACGCCCCTGACTCCTCCCCCTTCCCTAGGAGCACCTGTCTCTGCCCATGGCTGATGTCGGGGTCCCTCAGGAAGCCCGAGACCTGATCCAACAGCTTCTATGCCCACGGGAGGTCCGGCTAGGACGGTCTGGGGCCAGGGACTTCCGAGGTCATCCATTCTTCCAGGGACTCGACTGGGAGGGCATTCGGGACAGCTCTCCCCCCTTCGTTCCTGACTTTTCCGGAGCCACGGACACCTGCAACTTCGACCTGGTGGATGACGGGCTCACGGCCATGGTGAGCGGGGGTGGGGTACGTATCCCGCCCCCGCCTATCAGCCTCCCCCAGGGGCGCCGCTCGGGTCCCCAGCATGCCAAGTCCAGGAACCTGAGCTCATCTGGTCACCTCAGAGCCAACAGGATGCACGTTAGGCCGGGGTGGGGATAGGGGCAGAGCGTCAATGCTCTCCTACAGGGCAAGAAGGAAGATCTCCTCCTGTTTCCTGGTCAGTTCTGGAAGACTGAAGTTTCTGAGCAAGCATATAATCTGCATCAGTAGTGAAGTTAAGGGAGGTCCTAAAACGCCGCCCCCCCCCAATTTCCCAGTACATGCTCATTGCATGAATAATTCTAGATTATAGGGGTGTGGAACCTGCAGCCTCTAGACCATATGTGGCCCTCTAGGTCCTCAGGTGCTGAATCCAGGGGATTTCTTCTTGAAGTTTGTTTTGTGAAGTTTTAGAACCTCAGGCCTGGGACAGTACCTAAAAATTCTGTATCCAGCTCCCAGACAACCATAGATTGTGAGCCCAAAAGAACTGTACAGACTGGTCATTTTACACTGGCCTTGAGCTAGCTGTCATTCAAGGAGGCAGGAACGAGGGTGGGTCTGGGATCCAGGGCCGGGAAGCCTGGATTCCTCATCTCGGCTTTGTGGGCCTCCACTAGGCACCGGGCAGGTTCTCCCTAAGCCCGTCCCCTTCTCTTTCCTTCCAGGAGACACTGTCTGACCTGATAGAAAGCCCCCCACTGGGTATACACTTACCCTTTGTGGGCTATTCATTCTCCTATGCTGCTCTCAGGTGAGGAGGAGGGGGGGCCTTCTCTTCTCCCACCTTCTACTTGGGGCTTTTCCTGATCTGTCCTAGCTACTAGTGCCTCCACTCCCCCCCACCCCCCATACCTTGGCTCTTTTGTGTTTTTTATATACGTCTGTGGATAATATACGTGAATACACCCATACACAGGGTGTCTCAAAAGTGTTTAGTCATTTCTGTCATGTCGGACTCTACGTGACCCCATTTGGGTTTTTCTTGGCAAAGATACTGGAGTGGTTTGCCATTTCCTTCTCCAGCTCACTTTACAGATGAGGAAACTGAGGCAAACCAGTTGAAGTGATCTGCCCAAGGGTCACATAGCTAGTCTGAGGCCGGGATTCTGGTTCTGGTCCTTCTGACTCTGGGCCATCTAGCTGCCCAACTCCAAAGTCTTTTACTGCAGTTTGAAGTTATTCAAGTTAAAAACAAATCAGCTGAAAATGACATGAAGGGTTTTGGAACACCTTGTCTATGGATGGATTCACCAGGGGAAGAGCCTATCCTGGCTGTGTGACCCTGGGCTTCACACTTAACCTGTCAGTGTCCCAGGGCACGCTCTAAGCCTGTCAGCTGAAGAAGATGCTGACCTGCATTGGTAGAGTTCCCTAAAGCAGGAAAATCGAGGTTCAGTTGTTATCGCTATCAGTATGTGTGTATGCACATGTCTGTATCCCCAGAACCTAACACCTAGGTGGTTTATGAATGCTTGCTGAGAAAGGGAGTCCTGAGGGAAAGTGGGATTACTCCTCTTATTCTCTCCTCTCCAGAAAGGCCCTCTTTCTCAAAGAGGTTGGGGGAGGGCAGGGCAGCCTTGGAATGCATAAACGCTCTTCCCACAGTGAAAGTGAGGCCCAGGAGGTCAGCCACCCTGCCCCTATGGAGCTGGAGCCTGAGCCCACAATTCCTACCCCACCTGAGCTGGCCACCCCCGAAGAGCCTGTGAGTGATAGGGGTATGATTGGAGGGTCAGTCCAGGAAGGCTTCTGGAGGAGGGGGCTGGGAAAAGAGAAAGCAATCATAAGAAGGCCCTCTGGGCAGAGGGTGGGAGCCACTGCTCAGCTTAGTGGAAGGAGCACTTTGAAGTCATAAGACCTGGGTTCAAATTCTAGTTTCTAGTTATATGGACCTGGGTAAGTCCTTTACAGCTCTAAATTTTAAGGCCCGGCAGACTCAGGCTGAGGAGGCCACACCAAGCCTAGAGAAGGAGGAGGAAGAGGGGATCACCTTGCAAGAGCTCCAAGCTGCCCTGGAGGAAGAGATACTGAACCAGCAGAGCCTTCGAAGAGAGCTGGATGCCATCCGCTTAGCCAACCAGAACTTTGCCAGGTCAGTGAACCCCTGGCTGGAATCATATTTTTGCTGGGGGAGGGAGCTAAGTTATTCTGTCATGATATGAAGCCATGTCATGACCAAGACTTCTGTGACTTTGGGCAGGTCCCTTCCTGGCTCTGGGCCTTAGTTTCCCCTTTTTGTAAATTTAGGAAATCGGACTAGATGGTTTCTGGGGTCTGTCCCAGTTCTCCATCCTAGGTCAGGACACTGTAAAGATGCTAGGAACACAACCACTAGGGTCCTATGTCAAGAGCCAAGGCAGTCCTGATGGCCCACGTGGACCCTTTCTCCCAAATCTGGCCCCACAGTGAAGGGGGCTGGGACCCCAGGCGTGACCATTCCCTGACTTTGCCCCTAGCCAGCTCCAAGCCGCCGAGAGCCGGAATGGGGAGCTAGAGGTTCAGATCCAGCAGCTTCGAGAGCGGATGGAGGAATTGCAAGCATCAGGCAAGTCCAGCCCCGCCACCCCCCAGGGGTCCCACCCCCTGTGCTGGGCAGGGGTGGAGAGAGAACCGGAGGAACCCCGGGAACACAATGGGGATAGCAGGGGGCTGGAGGCTGCCAGCACACGAAGCAGACTGCCCAGGCCACGAGGCTGCCGTACTCTCTCTGTCCCGATCTCTCTCTCTCTTCTGCCTGCCCACTGCTCGTCTCCACTTCCTTTCTCTTCTCCTTCCAGCCAACTCGGGGCTCCCCCTTCCCCAGGCCACGGAGCTGCCTTCCCATGTAAGACTCCCCTGCCTGCTGTTGCCATGGGCCTGCTTCCGGGACCCCCTCCAGATCCCCTAGGGCCTCTTTCCATCTCACCTGCCCTCCGAATGCCCAATACATGTCGTGTGATCCCTCTAGGGGTGGCCCTGGGGAGGGACCTGGAGGGGCTCCGATCTGGTCACCTGTCCCTTCTTTCTCCAGCCAGATGGCCCCCCGGCCGTGGCTCTGTGCCAGTGCCCCCTGGTGGTGCCCTGCCACCTGCTGCCCTGTGCCCGGGTACGTCCCTCCGGCCGCTCACGCCCCCTGCCACGCTCGCCCTTGCTGCCTGGCCCCTCTGCTTCGCTCCTTCTCTGCCGGCTCTGACCACTGGGGAAGGGGCGGATGGAAGGGGACACCAATCAGGACGTACGACCGCCGAGGGGGCCAGTGAGGGGATGGGGATGGGGAAGGTTGCGGCTTGGGGCCGGGCAGGAGGAATGGTGTCGCGACCAATGGGCTCCTCTCAGACGGCCTGGAAGGACCAATCAGCGCCCCTGACCCTCGGCCCGGTCTTCCCGCAGGTCGGTAAGCCAGGCCTATCGGAGACGCGCCAGCTGCTCGTCGTCGCCGCTGCTCTGGCTTCTGCCACAGCGCTGGGCCGCCCTGGGCTGGGGGCCTGTGCTGACCCCGACCCCGGCCCTGGCCCTGGCCCCGGCCCCGGCCCCGGCTGGGGCTTCCCCTGGCCGGCTCGCCTCAGCCCCAGAACCGCCCCCGGCCCCTGAGCCCTAGATTTGTCCCCGATGAACCCAGGCGCCCCGGGAGGGGAAGCCGTGGTCCGAGCGCGCAGTCCGTCCTCGCCTGCCCTGGACGTAGCGCGTGGTCCCATCCCCGTGATCCGGACCCGTCCCCGGAGGCTCCCGCGGCGTCAGGAGAGGGAATCAAGGGGGGGGAGGAGGACCGCGCCGCCCACTGGGCTGCCCCCTCACAGACCAAAACTGGCCCTCCCTTCAGGGACCCCGCCCCCCACGCCTCCACGCACCACGCGCGCCCGGGGCCTCCTCCGCCTCCCTCACCACTCGCTGCCCGGCTTGATATTTATTGAAACCCACTCCCCAGCCCGCTGCACCAGCCGGACGCCGGGGTTCCCCCGAGTGGCGGTGGCTGAGCTGTCCCGTGCCCGACCCCTTCTCTATTTATGCACTGAGAGCCCGACCTTCCCCCCCCCCGCCCCCCGGTATTTATTGTCGCCCAATAAAAGCCTCTTGGTCTCCCTGGCGCAGGCCTGGTCCTTACACCCATCCGCCATCCCACGCGCAGTCCGAGTGGGAGGTGTGGGGCCTAGGGCGGGCGGGGTCTAGGTCTCAGCCGGGAAGGGGGACGGGGAGCCCGCAGCGGTCCAGCCTGCGGTTACGGCTCCCCCGGAGGCGGGGGGGGGGGGGGCGGAGAGCATTTGGAGACTGGATTGGGCTCCCGGAGAGCAAAGGGTTAAGGGCGGGAGTTGCTCCGCGCAGGCGCCACTGCGCTCCCAAAGTTACGGAAAACTTTCTTCCCTCAAGTTTTTCCTGGGTCGGGAGAAGGGAAGGGAGCGAAGGGGGCGGGGCTAGCGACCAGGGCACATAAGGGAGAGGGCGGGGCTGGGGCCCCAGGAAAGAAACTGACCAGACCCAGAGCCCCGCCCCGCCCGCCTCGATGGAGGGGGCGG